GCTCGCTGTTGTCGCCCTGTTGATGACATCAGCGACGCGGTTTAATCGGGCGCGGCTTAGTCGAGTGCGGTTTTGTCGTGCCACGCTGTGTCTTACCAGGTGACAGAACAGAAGGAGAGAAATAGGACAAAGAGATGGTACCTGCTAGGTCTCGTGTGTATTGCTTTCTGGAACGGTCCATTTGGCATTTGTGGCTGGCCAAAACTTTCTTCACCAGGTCCAGCATGCCAAAATTCTGGACGGTGTTGTTCAGCAGGATGGCATCTAATGGAAACACAGGATGAAAAAAACAAAACATCCTAATAGCCGACAGAAGGCATTTGGTAAAGTTTCCCATCTCCCATATGTGGTAGCCGTTCCCGACTCTAGGGGGCGGTGCTCATCTCCATTTCAAAGCCAAAGTGCTGTCCGAAGACGTCTCCGTGGTCATGTGGCCGGCGTGACTCAAAGCCAAAGTTGCACGCAACGCTGTTCCCTTCCCACCAAAGGTGGTTCCTATTTTTCTACTTGCATTTTTTACCTGCTTGGTAAAAACTTGGTGCGTCTTATACTCCGAAAAATACAGTAGTAATACCATCGTTTAAAATCTAATTTCTCCTATTATTACTTCTCCTTATTATATAAAAATGTGTACTTTATTATTCCCCCTTTCTAGTTTCCATCCCTATTCTAACTTTGATTATGCCACTACTGTATTTAAACATATTCATAAAATAATTTCTTTGCAAGGTGAAAGCATGGCGCTATCCGGGTCTCACCGTTCAGCTGCAAAGGGAGTTCCTGGATTCTTTGCTGCAGGCCCTTCATGGCTTCCATGAATTCCACACTGAATTCCTGCACCACTTCCTCCAGCAGCCCGGCGTCTCTCAGGCCTCGCCAGAAGGTGAATGCGTCATCTGAAATTGAAAAGGAGCGATGTTTGGACAATCCAAAGGTGCTTTTCTTTCCCCCCAAGAGGCAACTGGAATTTCCTGGCTTTCCTTCCCTTCGCTTTGCTTCTCATCCAGAAAGGTTCTTCTGTGATTCTGAATGGTGGGGAACGGAAGGATTTACAGGTAATACTAATAGCAATAACAGACTTATATACCGCTTCATAGGGCTTTCAGCCCTCTCTAAGCGGTTTACAGAGTCAGCATATCGCCCCCAACAACAATCCGGGTCCTCATTTC